AGCCTATTGCCAAGGCTAGGATTACTGTACCATTGTGGAACCAAGAATGCAAAAGTCATGGTATCAGAAGGCTATCAAATAAGATAGAACCTGCTGACCCTGTGGCCTAGTAATTAGGAGACTTCCCTGGAGGTGTGGGAGGAGAGTGCTGGAATTTTGAGTCCTGCTCAAAACAGCACCACTTCGTTTCAACTTCTGTTGTACCATTTCAAAGGGACAGAGTGTTTCATTTTGCTGTTTTGAAGCACTGTTATGTTTCATTTAATCAAAACTGTTTCACTTTTTTGACGCTGTTTCAATGCATTGCAATATTTTGCCCATAGACTATAATGGGGAAGCATGAAAATGCCTATACCTTTGTCATCTCTTGCTTGATTCAGATGAAAATTGCAGGAAGGGTAGCTCCTTCTGAGGGTATGAAGCCTGCCATGAAGGAGATAGGTCAAAGGGTTTCTGGGAAACTGCACCTCAAACTGTTCAAAGCAAAACTCACATCATTTGCTGGCAGTAGCAGCCTGCTTTCATCCCACTTGCAGATCCATGGCCCGCACCCCCCAGGAGGGCTGTGGGGCTGTGTCAGAGTCCTCCTGGGAGGTGCAGGCCCCTTGATCTGCACACAGGATGACAGCATACCACTGCTGCCGGATGTGGCCTAGTGGCAGCACCAGTCTTCCCGGCGCTTGGTGTGGGCTGCGCCGAGCACCGGTCCCAGTTGGAAGCAGCAGCCTGCTGTCATCCCACATGCAGATCCAGGGGCCCACACCCCCTGGGAGGAGTCTGGCACAGCCCTGTAGCTCTCCTGCAGGGGTGCAGGCCCCCAGATCTGTGCACGGGGTTTCAGCAGGCTGCTGCTGCCAGTTGGGGAAATAGCCCAGAGCCACCACTATCCCCAACTGGCAGCAGCAGCCTGCTGTCATCCTCCATTATCTAGGGGCCTGCATCCCCTGGGAAGAGCTGGGGGAAATGATCAGAGAGATGGGAGAAAGATTGGGGAGTGGGGGAATCCAAGGAAGGACTGGGGGAATGTTCAGAGACCTGAACATTCCCCCAGCTCCTGTTCGATTCCCCAGCTCCTGGTTTGATTTCCCAGCCCCCTGTTTGATTCCCCCAACTCTCTGGTCACTTCCCCCAGCTCTGTGATCATTTTCCCTGCTCTTCTCAGGGGGAACAGGCCCCTGGATCAGCACACTGGGTTTCAGCAGGCTTCCACTGAAAGCTGGGGCCGGCAGCAGCACCACAGTCTTATCAGTGTTCAGTGCAGACTGTGCCAAGCAGCTGCCAATGGCCACAGCCTGCAGCGGCAGCCTCCTGAAACACTGCATGCAGATTGGGGGCCTGTGCTACCTGGGATGAGCTTGGGAAATGATCAGAAAGCTGAGGGTATTGATCAGAGAGCTGGGGAATCAAACCAGGAGCCAGATGTCAATATGAGAGCAGTCCTTCCCCCTACTTTCCCCTCCCTCTCCTTTGTTTCTGTTTAGCTGCAAGCAAGCCAGGCCTCAAAATTTGAAATGTTTTGAAACTTTTGAAATGTTTTGAGTGCCCTCATTTTGTTTCAAAGCTTTTTCGAAGCCTTTAATTTTATTTCAATTTCACTGTTTCAAGCTCAAAACTTGTCAAAACAGCTTCGAAATGAAACACATATTGAAATGTCGCTGAGCCCTACTATTTATGAATTTTGCATTAAGGATTTATTGGATAAAATGCAGAAATAGTGTGGTGGCAGTACCCAGGATTTCCACTTCCCAGGGGAACAGCTTTATTATTCAACTATAAAGTCTGGCTCCCTTTGGCTTACTCTTCTTCTGGCCCCATGAATCTTGTAGTTGAGGCTTTGGATTCAAGACACTTTTTCTTGGGCATAATATTCATGGGTATGTTTTTTGAAAAGTTCGTTTCCTTAACCTTCCTTTTCTATATTGAGATAGATTATACTCAAAAGAGTTTGTATTTTCCTTCCCATTAAAATATGGAGCAAACTCATGTATGTCACAATTTGAGAAGCTGTTCTGTGTTTTAAAATAAATTAGGCCAGCTATGTTTCCAAGCTCCAATTAATCATCATTTTCATCCCCTTTCAAAAATTCTAAGAGATCGGTCTGCTAGGCCTTTTCAAGATGGATAATATGGGTAACTTTGTTTATTAGAAATATTAGTTAAAATATCTTTAGGCTTGTAAAATGTTGGTCCATCATCTATAAGTGTGCCAGTAGTATATGTGTGGCAATGGTCTGAATTTTCTTTATGTAACAGTGGAGTTCATTTAGGTTATCATAGTCACTGATAGCCATTTTTATGTTCATCTGCTTATACTTATGTTCATCTCAAAGTATACATTTATAGGAACCAAAATTACCCCAGTTATTTTCCTGGGTGAAGAGGTACAAGGGGAGAAGTGCCATTGCATTTGACACTACTTTTTTCAAGCTTTTATTCATTGACAATAGCAGACCCCAGGCCAAAAAAATCATATAAAAATGCCAGGGTATGCTTCATATAAAGAGTAGGGCTTGATTCCATTGTGAGGGTATACCAACTTTTACTTTCCATAGTAAACATCCATTTTCTCTGCTAGTTTTATACTCCTGGACTGAAATAGAGTAACTTCTCCACTTCTCCACATTTTCTCCACCCTTGTAGTATATGCTGCTCTACCTGGAGCAGGAAAGGATTTTCTTTAGCCTTTATAGCATTGAGTTGCATAGATAACACAATATCATCAGAAAGCTCCATAGAACCAGGTTGTTCTGGTACTGAAAGTCAGTTTTAGCATTGGTTTGCTGATGCCTGGCCTTATAGTCTAGAGACAAAAGTTACACATAAACCAGTTTAAGTGATCTGAAGCTGGTTTAAACCTGTAACACAACAGTAGTTCAGTGCACTGAACTGCTTTCAAAATATCTGAAACTGGTATAAGATAAATCTGGTTGAGTGTAGTATCAAACTGAACTGATTTAGGTCAAACCAGTTTATGGAACTTCTGTCCCAGAACCCCTGCAGCTCAAGTTAACTCACAGTTCCCCAGCATCCCACAATGCTTTGCAGCCCTGGGATATGTTATCTGCTCCAGGGGTCTATCACTGCTCTGGCTGGCTGAGAACGGGGTGGAGGAAACCCAGCTCTGGACCCAGTCCTGGGTTTGCCTGGTGGGGGAGAAGCATCCCCTCAAGCCCTGCTCAAGTGCAGAAAAAACCTGGGAGGGGCTGTTTTTCCCCCCATCTCCCACAGAGGTCCTATGTGGACCAGGGAGGGGGTTTTAAACCCTCCTCTTCCTCCTCCACTTCAGCGTGCCAGCCTTGGCCACAGTCTGGCCATGCCCCCTGCCATCTCTACTCTAGCAGGGGAAAAGCCTGGATGGGGTTTCCTCCCCCATCCAGGCACACTTCAGCAGGGTCAGTGTGGACCATGGTGGGGGTTTAAACTCCCACCATTATACTCAACAACCAAGCCAGGGCCTGGCCACATCTTCCCCTCTTGCTTGAATAGTGAGTGGGGGGAGGAAGGGGAAGGTGCTTCTCTCCCAGCTTCCCTTCCTTTCCTTTGGCAGTGGCCATCAGGTTGGGAGGCATTTTCTGGGCTGATCTACTGCAGGCACGTGGCTGCATTTCCAGAATTGAAAGTGAATTCTCTGTTCACTTGCTTCTCTGTTCAATCTGTGCAGTTTAGACTAACATACAAAAATTGAATTGATTCAGCCTCAGGCTTTTTGACTGTCTTTACTTAGCCCAAGTCCATTTTATACCTATCTATGATTAAGGTTAAATCCAGCAATATAGTTAAGCAGCTACAATGGCTAACATAACTTTATTTTCACTGAACAGGCTCCCAGATGGTTTGTGATCTTTCAGAATGGCAAAATGAATAGATAGCTGTTTTTGTCTAGCTAAATGCAACCCTGTCCAGTTTTAGTTTTTTCTCATTGACCTGGAGACATCTCTAATTTGCTGTTTTCCAATATCCCTCCTGTTATGCGACAAAATTACCTTTAACCCAATGGTGAAGAGTTATATGACAGGAGTCTTTGCCTGGATCAAAATGAATGAGTTCCAAATACTTATTGTTTTTTCAGACCACTGGAAAACTGATACTTAATTCTTTTTCCAATATCACGGAGTCTTCAGAAGATGATGCAAGTATTCTGAAAAGGCTGATACATTTGGGAGACTCTTGTGATATTAAATAAACATACCTAAGAGTGCTCATGGCTCAGTTGTGTTCTGAGGGATTGGGACTTGTTCTGTTACCGTGACCTTGTCTGCCACAGGCTGAATCCTCCCATCATCAATCCCATAGCACAGGTACATGATTTGTTGTCTCATGAAAGAGTATTTTACACAGTCCACTGTGTTTACTTTATTTTACACAGTTCCACTGCCTCCAATCTTTGAACTAATTTTTATAATGTTGACAGATGTTCAGCATCAAGTCCAATAGTGAAGAGAATGGTGTAAATCCTCAATTTAACATGTGAGATACATTTCAACAGTTTTGTTTTTTTTTCCACGGCTCCCTGGAAAATTCCAGGTTATAATATTTTGCATGCTCTTATACTAGCAAAGATATTGCAAGTTTATTATAGTTATAAATTCTTACCATCCTCTTTAAATCTCTGCTGATTTTTCTCTGACCAGTCTAACCTATTAAACCCTTGACCTACCTATCACCACCAGCTCCCTCTGTAGAATATGAACTTGTCTACCATGGAAATTTGATTACCATATCTTATAACCTGCATACATGTGGATGGTCTTGTTTGTTCTGACCACGGTCAGTGTATGTTTGGCCTACTCATAAACCTGCACTTTTAAACGGATGCCTCTGTAGCAGGGCACTAGGATGCCTGCTACTAGAAGTGCTGGGATAACCCTTCAGGTGCTGGTTGCTGAGGCAACCAAAGGGAGCTAATGGCTTACACCTGCCTAGCCAGCTGAAGGAAGGGGCAGGGCCTGGCCCCTATATAAAGCACAGGCAGGATGCCAGAGGCAGCCTCCTACCAGCAGCTAAGGAGGAAGAATTTCCCTGCCAGAAAAAGAGAGAAGTCTGAATGCCAGAGCAGTGTTGGTCACTGCAGTAGGATAAAACCTGGTAGGCCTGAGCATAGTTATAGCTAGTGGCTTTTGTTTTAGTTTTTTGCACAAGGCCGGGTTGTTGCTAAGAGGCTGGTGTTTATGTTACTGTTTATGTTTGTTATTGATTACACCGGTGGTTTGGGTGAGGCTATAAGGGGATGGAGGAGGCCTCATAGGGGACTCATGGTAGTGTGAGGACCCCAGCCCTAGTGAGGGCACAGTGTTTGGGGTATACAGACCCCAGCTCCAGAGAGGGGTGACTGAGAAACCCCAGAAGATGGGGTAGTGGTACGGTGAGCCTTGTGAGAGGGCCACGTTGCCGAGAAGGCCCCTGTGAAAGGTGTGGAGAGAGACAGGGCCACGAAAGCCCTGAGTGCCAGAGGGGGTGTAGACCCAGACAGAACATCATCTTTTCCATCTGCGAGGCTTGGGGTGTGGTATTGAGGTGAAAGGAGCCACGCGTAGCCCACAAGGCTTGGATACACGGAACACCTGAAGCAGGAGAGCTGTGGCCAAGTAGAAGAAAGGTAGGCTCCCTGTAAAAACACATATACATCAAAGTTGTGGCAGGGGAGAATAGAAGGGTACGAGTCAGAAGCTTGGCACAATAAAGGAGGTGACAGGGGATAGCACGGTGACCCTGATGTTGCTCCTGTTACAGTCTTATCTTTTTTCCAAGCTGTGTAGCTCAGGATGTGGACAAACAAATTGCAGTGAGTTTTTAAAGAGACCTGGGAAGTACTGCTCAGCAGCTTCTCTGTAGCAATTGTGTATTTTCTTAACCCCAATAAGAGAAAGTGAAAGTAAGTGAAGAGGGCAAAGGATGATATGTGGAAACTACTTTTACTTACTCTGACCTGTTCATTTGTCCACAACCTTAGTCTCATTTTTTTCCGAGGGCCTAAGGAACTGATATTGCTCTGAGGTATTTTGGTTTGACCTCATCCTGGATATAAATCTTGGCAACTATCCTCTCCAGGGTCCTGAACCTTTCCTGAAATGTGCATCCAGGATTTTCTGGATTGCTGGTATTTTGTTAGTTTCCCATTTAAAAAAATTCTTGCTATTCAGTTTTAGTTCTTATAACAACTTTCTAACACATTTTCACTTTCTCTTCTGCCAGAGTTGGTAACTTTGTTTTCTCTCTCTTTTTTTTTACTTTTGGATTTTATTATAGTTTACACCTGACTGTGTTCCTTGGTGTAGGTTTGAATGCCATAACCAGTGATCCTGTTTTTCTCTGATTTAAAAAAATAAATAAAAAATCCCCAATTTTCAGATTTCAAAAAAGCAACCCAAAATCCACAGTCTCCATGATCAAAATGATACACCACTATATAGATCTATATATTAGTGGTGTTTTATTTTAATCATGGAAAAAATGTGGATTTTTGGGTTACTTACCCAATTTTTAGACATTTTAATATATATCAAAGTAAACCAGGATCCCTGGTCATAACTGCATCACTGCATGAATGATCTTAGTTCTTTTTTGCATGATTGATATAAAAACTAATTAATGACAGAAGCTAAATTACTTCTGTGAGCACTGATTGATCATTAAACTCTACTGTATTGTGTAAGGTCTCAATTTCTCTCTCAAAGTGTGTATTACAGCTCTGCATCTTCCTGCATCTCCAAACATTAAGCATTATTATTATTATTATTATTATTATTATTACTTTCTGTCTTCTGTTCTGAGGACTAACATTCTGGTCCTGAGATACACTTGGGAAATCACCTTTGCATTTACTAGTTATGGCCCAAATCCTATTCCACTTCTACAACCTTACATTTTTCCCACCATTGATTGAGTTCTGAGTTTTAATTCCTATGCCCAAATCTGTTTGTTTTATCCAGTGATTATTTATTGAAAAACATATAGGCAGTGCAGGTAGCAGTAAGTACAGTTTTTTCCCTCTTAGTGAAAACTACTTCACTAAGCTATAGTGACAGGCTTCTATGCTCGCATGCAGGCCTGTTTGCTTCTATTTTGGCCCATGACTATTCTATTTCTTTAACCCAGTAGGTAAGTTTAGGCAGGAAGAATAAAGGTTGTTCTCGTCCCTGCCTAGGCCCTACTCCCCAATCGGGGCACAACCCTGAGAATTGAATGTTATTTGAAACCCTCTCTCAGTGAGTGGGAACTAAACCTTATATATCCCACTTGCTGAACAAAAGTTCTAATCACTAGGCTATTGGGCAAAAGATGTGTATGAGTTGGGACAGGGAGGGAGGTTTTTTCTCTACTAAGGAATTGAGTGTGAAATCGGATCATAGCAGAGTTTAGCTATAGGTTGACAGCTCAGTGTCCATTTTGGATTACTTCTGAGCACAGACAATAGGCCAAGTCTCATTGCCAAGGGACCTTTTCCCAAAATGGAAACCTAGATGTGTTAGGGTCCTGCCACATATTCAAATTAAAGCTTCATAGAAATTAATTATAAAGTTGTTACACATTATTAGTCTCTAGCTTTGTAGTTTGTTGGTTCTTTGTGTAGTTGGATGGGTATTTTTACGGCATAATAATTACTTTGTATGTGTGGTTGATCTAAGTTTAATGCACTATTTATATTGTACAATATATGTAGCTAGGGCAGGGGCCTTAACAGCTTTGTGATTGCTTGCTGTATATCATGGAATAGGATGAGTCTACTAATTAAGCAACACTTGGACATCTTAAAAGCAGAGTAGAATCTGGGCCCAAGCAACCAATAAGCATTTATGGCACCAGGATCCAACATACCTCAGGAATTTGATTCCTTTTCAACTGACATAGCATTTTTTATTGAGTCACTATAATTGTACAGGCATTTTAAGTGTTAATCTTTTATATTTTTCCTTGATGGTTCCACTTCTTCAGCTAATTCTATTCCCTGGACCTGATTAAGTTTTAATTTGTCAGGGATTATTTTGAATTCTCTAATTGTTAATACCTTAAATTATTTTTTCCTAACGCTTATCCTCTAGGACATTTCCATTTGAAGAATGCATAGTAACTACTTCTTATCTCTAATATAAACATAGGTAAGGCTTCACTTTGCTCCCTTATCCTTCTATGAAACTTGAAACGTCCTACAATAAAGTTGCGGTTTTGGTATCCAGTTGTAAAAAACCTCTGCCAAATCATCATGCTTCTAATCCAAGGAACAAACCTTGTTTTGAGTTAGTGTGGGACTTTTATGTGACATCATGGTATGCTCTGCAGACACACCCAAATAACAGCACGACTAAATACAACCTTCCTGAAATTACCAGGTGATTCCATGGATATCCTACAAAAAATACTGTACAGTTAGACCGGAAATAACAGTCAAATTAAACAATATTTAATTTTTAAAATCTCACTGTTTTTATCATTAGTTAATGTTATGAATGAAACCTGAAAACTAACTTTAATGATGTTAGTAATAACACTGTTAAAGTTCAGGAACAAAAAGGCTTAGGGAAGAAAAATATAAGCATTTTGGAAAGAATTTACTAAATTTTATTGAACCTTAAGTAAGCCAAATGCTTTTTATTCTTATTTATTTATTTTAATAAGTATATCTCCATTCAGTGAATGTTCTTTTAAGGGCCAGGCCTCACCTGGTGAACCCAATTGAGCTATGCCAATGTATATCACATGAGAATATTTGTAATGGTATCATTGGCAGGCTCCTTATTCCAGAGTAGACAGTAGAATCAAGGTCATTCCACCACATACTTTTAATCTTTCCAAAAACTTGCTTTTGTAAGATAACATTGAGTTATGTGCCACCTCCAAGACCAGTGTCAGTTAATCTTTTGAGAGAGGATCATTTCTGAGTTGAACAAAGAATTGGGGAAGTTGCCTCTTCATGGTCCCCATTCACATGAATAGAAGGGTTGCATGTAATCTGTCTTGTGAATGAATCTTCTGCCACTTATTCTTACTAAATCAAGAAAAAGCAGAAAAGTAAAGAAAGTTGAATGCTGAATTTTAAGTGCATTCCCTTTATTTGTATTTTCAAGTTACAGTCTAAATGCCAAAGGGAAAATCAATAGAAAAAAATAGCAACTGTTTTACATAATGTGCCATCATTTGTCTACTAATTGAAGGCTTCCCACTGCTAGAGAGTATGCAAGAGCATATAGGGACAGAAAAATCCCAAGTACTTTAGACCAGTAAATTAATCCCTCAATCTGGAAACATTAGTGTTTTTTATTTTTATTATATATATATATATATATATATATATATATATATATATATATATATATATATATATATATATATATATATATATATATATATATATATATATATATATATATATATATATATATATATATATATATATATATATATATATATATATATATATATATATATATATATATATATATATATATATATATATATATATATATATATATATATATATATATATATATATATATATATATATATATATATATATATATATATATATATATATATATATATATATATATATATATATATATATATATATATATATATATATATATATATATATATATATATATATATATATATATATATATATATATATATATATATATATATATATATATATATATATATATATATATATATATATATATATATATATATATATATATATATATATATATATATATATATATATATATATATATATATATATATATATATATATATATATATATATATATATATATATATATATATACACACACAAAAAAAATTATGGACCATATGGAGCTTTCTTGGTGAAGAAATGCATTTCTTTTTGCACTATATTGCAGAAAAGGAGTGCTTTTGAAAGTAACACTTTTCTGCACATTATCATTGACCTAACTGCTTCAATTGAAGTCAATTACTTTCAGTGGAAGAAGAATTAAATCAATATTAAGAAAAATAATGTCTCTCTTTCTTCCTAGAAACAGGAACTAATATTTGTGTTTTTTTTTTTTTTTTTTTTTTTTAAAAAAAAAGCCTAAATTTAGACATCTGAGTATTCAATTTTTAAAATTTACAGGGCATTCAATGGTTTCCAGTTTTTCAAACTTTTGAAAATAAGAGAACTTAATTAACTGCTGAAACTTTTCCTCAAAATATCTAAAATAACAAATATATCCAATTACTTGTGGGTGCCCACTTCTCATCTCTCAGCTCTAATCTTCAAAGGGAACTTACAAAATACCTTGTGTAGATGAGCCCACAAACTTCAATTCATACATCTGCTAGATACAAAAAATCATGGACTCAATATAGACATTGGATTTATGACACACATTACAACCTACCTGACATCTGATTGGCCAGGAACCTGCCTGACCTTCCCATTTCCACTCTTCTTTCCCCCCCCCCCCACCCCAGGCTCCTCCTTTTTTACCCTTTGTCTTCCTAATTTCCAGCTTTTTTTTTTTTTTTTTTCCCCACAGACAGCCACTTTTCTACCTTGGAGAGCTGAACCACAATAGAGTCTCCCTTATTCATCTTTGTCATTAGTTCCCCCTTGCTTTACCCCCTCTTTTCCCTACCCCTTGTCTTCCTAATTTCCACCTATTTACATTTTCACTGACATCCTGTCATACTTTTAGTTTCTTTAATTCCTTGGAGATCTCAGAACAGCAGAGCCTCCCTATGCCTGAAGAATGGTGCTTGTGCCTGAAAGCTTTCAAAGAACTTTTTTGCCAAGTACACAGTTAATCTAATAAAAGATATCACATCTATCCAAAGAAGCTTGCCTGCTATGTCCTTAGACCAACACGCCTACAACCAAAAACCCTGCAAATTTGTCCTCATGATTTTTGGAAATCTTTGTCTAAAACTATTATGTCAACTGTCACATGTTTTTACACACTACAAGCCAGATCCTGGCCCTTACACCAATGTTTGTGTATCACTGGAAAGAACAGAAAGGCTATAAATCTGCCCCAAATAAGCACAATTATGATTCTACTAGCTAAACAAGCATAATGGGTATATATTGAGGGTGGACTAGAACATGATTAGAATGGAGTTCAGTCTGGTGATTGATCAACAGCCACCAAAAAAGTCCATCTTGCACTATTTTCACAAGTGTTGGGTTACCAGATACTATAAGGGAAAAGGTTCAAATCATCTTTTCTAAGTTAAAAAACATCTGGTCACTTTTTTTCAGATCCTACCTTATTCAGTGAGAAGGAACACTGCTGATGAGAAATCTGTCTAAGAAGCCGCATTGCATGAGATGGAAGGTAATTTCTGGGTAACAACCTCTGCACTTCCTAGTACCTTCCTCCTCTTCATGACAGTTTCTGTCTTTCTTTCTTGTCATCTTTTTTTCCTTTGCTTTCTCCATCTCTTACCCCCAATGTCAATCCATGCAGGCTGATGAATTCTATGTTATATGGCTATACTTGGAAAATATTTGTCATGATCTATACTAATCAGATAGAAGGAGACATTGGCAACACAATAGGTGGAACAATTCAAATTTAAGGGTCTCAAATAATCTCATTGATATTAGTGCTGTTAAGGACTGGACCCTGGGCAGTCAGAAAAATTGTCTAGGTAACTAGGAGAAGTCTAGAAACTGAGTTCATGGGGAGTCGGGGAAACAAGACCAGAGTTCTAGGTAAGCTGGGAGCCTAAACTGAAATCAAGGTAAGCCAGAAGTCAAAGCCGAAGTCAAGTCATATGTTCTTTGACTTAATAAATATAAGGGGATCTATCTTAGGTTTTTGAACTTGACAGAACTGAGTACTTGTGGGAAATCTAACTCTTGCATAGTCCTCCTTAGTGCCCCAGAGTTAGTAGTAACTATAATAAACCCTGTAAGATATATATGTTGAGGTTCTCTAGGAATTGTTTAGGTATCCTTGATATTGTGGGCTGACTGACACTTATGATCTGGGGTACAATATGTTGTATGGCTAAACACAGCAATGAGGCTCCACTGTGGCTCAATATGCGGTCAGCACAGAAGCCTTATAATGGCATTAGGCAGCAAGAATGTCTCTGTTCTCTGACCACTCTTTATATGTTCCACCTTCAAGATTCTCACCCCAATCCATAGCCAGAACAATATCCCTTGCTGCCACCTTCAAAATCCCTCTTGGCTTCCTACCACTTTTTAGCTAAGTGCATCCTTTACAGAAGAGGACTTTTATAGAAAACTTGTAGTTGACTAATGAAGAAAGAACAATTTAAACAACATAATAATGTGTCTTGAAATTACTTTTTTTTTTTTTTCTCATTGTTTTACTTCCAGTCTATGGTACTTCATACGTGCACTCACATAGGAGAAAAAGTACTTAAGCCCAAAGTTATTGAAGTCTACCCTATAGCCTTTAAGATCTACAC